AAAATAGTGCAAAAGCACATGTCGAAAAAACACTTTATCGCGTTCCATTTTTCACAAAGCAAAAGAAATTGTTGTTTAGGAAAATAATTGTGTATGCTGACTGAATGTTATCGAGAAATGTCGAAATTAATCACAAACTACCTGTTTCGTTAGTAATGACTACTAGAACTGTTTGCATTGCCATCTAACATTTGCGGGCGGAAACTAAGTTAAGGTCCTAATATATGTAGTATTTTGAATGTTTAAATTCGTATAGTTTTGTTAAAGAAACATAAAGAAAGTAGCCTAAAATTTGAAACCTTTTTAGAACCTTTTTAGACCGTAGTGTTGGAACGGTACACTGGGCGGCTCTAAAACTTATATCTTTGTAATCAGCTCATCAAAGCCTTTAATTTGGTACTTGTTTGAAGTTTTCACTGCCCAGAAATGAGGCACATGTTGGCGTCACTCTTTTGTTTATCGTCTCACTGAGATCACGTATCAGAGAACGTCAGAACGTGGCGTGATCGTCTGCGAGAACAATTTGAAGATATTCTAGTGATGTAAACTACGATGTTTGCAGATTTTTAAGCCAGAGCCAACAGTTTCATAACCAAGCTGACATCACCTTCCGCGTAACAAATGCCTTCATTTCTATATGATTTCGTAGATAGATAATTTACACAGATAATAATATACACTCGATCTGTGTGTATGTAATACCATAATTTATATTTTATGATGGTGAGAATAAGTCACAATGAAAGAGGCTATAATTTAGCATCAGCGATGTTGTTCTTCACGACTGCAACACAGATTCGGTTTACTCAACTTTGTTGACGAATCGAATTCATTCGTTCCGTCGGTTTTAGTTGTGATGTCTTGTCAATTAGAATCTTGATCGAGATTCTAACAAAATTATTAATTCTAATAGAATTAGTGTTAAAATAATATAATATTTATGCAATACATACAAAATATATGATATATATGCAAAATAGAAATAGAATTGATTTATTGAAAAATTCGGAGACATTCAATATGTTTTACCTGTAAGCAACTTATATAAGTTATAAACAAACGACGAGCAATAACCTCCTTGATGAACATTTTAAATTCCGTTATTGTTACAACATAATTTTTTTTAATAATGGTGACTTGCACGACAATAATCAGCGATATTAAAATATTTGACTGAAAAAACACAAGTGTTTATATAAGCAGCAGATACAATCTTCCAATTCTGAGTTCCAAGAAATGTGACAACCGCTGACAATGAATTAAACCATAACGTTATCAGTCACACTTGCGTACACCTGAGTACTAATTACACGCGCGGTTCCTTCAACCTGCAACCGCCGAGGCCGCTTGTCATGGCGCTTTTTCTATTTACCAGCCTAACCGCTGAGTAATCCTAAACCCCGGGACATGCCGCTCGCGAGAGTATGCACGCGTGCACACTTGCGCCTCTCATTGTTCGTTACAATTACGAGTGACGTCACGAGTGCAAACAATGTCATTCCGCTTCGCACGCCTTCGCATTCTGCCCATCCCTCTCCTTCCTTCCTTAAACGCGCGACTCTCCCGCTCATCTCCCCCGTTCTGTCTGCGCGCCTCGCGATGCACGCGAATCCGCGCGCCTACGCGATTCTTCTTAGATTCGCGTCGCGTTCCTAGACGTAGTTCTCACAGCGTAGGATGTTTCGCGACTTGACCGCGCGTTTTCCTCGTTTTTTATATTTTCATTTAATATAATCATAATCTTTTTCATAATCTTTTACATTACCGACAGAAAGTTTGGAATCGCTATGTAAATTAGGCAACAGAGAAATGTGAAGGAGGCAATTTTCGCGGGCGGTTTTAATATTTTTATTCCTTTCAAAAATTATATTTCATAGTATTGAAAAAAAATTTCCACGCGACAACATCAAATCACGACGAAACATATCAAAAGATTCGTTTTTATGAAAAATCAGGTGATTCCAAACTTTTGGCCGGTGTATATTGTTATTATATAATCTTTTATTTCCCAAATTTTACTTAGTATTTATCTTAACTTATATAGTATTTTAATTACTTGCATCTATTAATTTCTTAATATATATTATAATATATATATATATATATATATATATATATATATATATATATATATATATATATATATAATATTTTTTAGTAATTTAATTTCGTAATATTAACTTAATATTTTCTTATATTAAAAAAAATTATTTTTTAGCTTGATTAAAATTTCATTTTACCCTGCGTTTTATTGTTTGTAATACGATATTTTGGTCTTGCGATTTTAATTTTGCAGCTTTCATTGCTTCTCGAGAAGCAAAAGATATCTGAGATTATATAAGTTGAGATTTCCTCTGGACAAATATTGTGAAATATCGAGGAAATACTGACGATTGCTTTTGCGCTTTTAATGGCAAAAATATTTCATTGATAAAGACTTAAAATGTCTTCAGCAGCGTTACTCGACGATGATATACAATGATATAAATAATAATATTTATTCATAGATATGGATACGATACTACGAAAACATTATTTAGTTTGTAAAACTTTGAGTAAATATTCTCTTCGATGCGGCAGAGGCAGCTAAAGTTTTATTATTAACACATGTATAAATAATGCATCTTGCGTGATGTTTTAGTCATAAGAGATGCAAATACGAAGAAATTTATGATCAGCCATGTTATAAAGTTAATCAAACTTTTTATTTTATCGCAACGAAAGTAACGAAGTTATGCAATTAGGATACATTTATTGATCTTTCGTAACGTTACACGTAACATACATGATCGAAGAACGTCAGTCTCACACATCAAAAGTCAAACAACAATTGAGATTTTATCTACAACACATTTGAGAGAAAGGTCCTACTAAGGTTTTAGTCATAAGAGATGCAAATACGAAGAAATTTATGATCAGCCATGTTATAAAGTTAATCAAACTTTTTATTTTATCGCAACGAAAGTAACGAAGTTATGCAATTAGGATACATTTATTGATCTTTCGTAACGTTACACGTAACATACATGATCGAAGAACGTCAGTCTCACACATCAAAAGTCAAACAACAATTGAGATTTTATCTACAACACATTTGAGA